AAACTTTTATTTTGAAATTATTATCAAAAAACGTTTATTTTGAAATGATAATTTAAAACATTTTTTATTTTTGAAACTTCACATTTTACTGTGAAAATTAGGAATTTTCCAAAAAAATTGACCTTGAAATTTCAGATTTTTTACTTTATTTTTTAAATGCAGTACTGTCAAAGCATGTAACAAATAACCCTCTAAAAATAAATCATATAAATATAATGACGTATTTCCCTCAGTGTCTCTGGCCTCCAGCACCGTGGGTCTGGCCGGTCAGGTCGTTCACACGGAAACCACGGAGGTCATGTTGCTAGGCGACGGCATTATGGGATTCGGCCTCCAGCTGCAGGGTGGTGTGTTCGCCACGGAAACGCTCTCCTCGCCGCCGCTCATCGCCTACATCGACCCCGACAGCCCCGCGGAGAGGTAACCGGGCAGATTACAGAATAATACCTCTGCTGTGAACATTATTAAATATATAGGGAAATAAATAAAAAATAATAAATACATTTGAAAATAATTAAATTAAATAAAAGAATATATACAAAAATAAGTGAATTAAAGAATTGAATATATATTTGAAAAATTGGAAATTATTATAAAAAATTTTTTTTTAAAAGTAACCTGCAATTTCTTTTTTAATAATTGAATACTTTTTTTATGTCAATTTATAAGTGTATGAATTAAATTTTTATAATGGCATCTTTGGTTCTCTATAATACTACTTATACTAATAGTTATAGTAGAATAGTGAGTAATTAAAAGTAGTTATAGGTAGTGTTAATAATACAGAAGTTACTTCACCCTCTCTGTGTGCAGGTGTGGGATCCTGCAGATCGGAGACAGGATCTTGTCGATAAACGGCGTCCCGACGGAGGACTCGACTCTGGAGGAAACCAATCAGCTGCTCCGAGACTCGTCCATCACCGCTCAGCTGACTCTGGAGATCGAGTTCGACGTGGCCGGTAACATGCACACACACACACACACAAACACACACACACACACACACACACACACACGCACACACACATTTTTGACACATTCTCAAATTATCAAACATAATGGGAATATTTTTTTCTACAATATATATTTTTTTTAATATCCGACTTTATTTTAAGTCTTATAATGACAGGTAAAAGATAAACGGAGCAATATATGAACAAAATGAACATTATTTAAAGGTCCCATGTCCTGCTTCTCCGGTTCTCACCCCGTCCCCTTGTGTGTTATGTAGGTTTTTCTGCATGTAAACGGTCTGCAGAGTCAAAACCCTCAAAGTACACCCTGTAGAGAGTGAAACTCTAACACAGAGAAGACCTGTCTGTGCTGCCCCAGAACGCCTCGTTGGACATTTCTCTGTTTCCATTTCTGTCTTCCTGGGTGCAGTGACGTGTCCATAATCCGTGGTACTCCTCACACACACTCTCTCAGCGAAAAAAACTGTGATGCGCTGGGGGGGTGGGGGATGCT